AATCATATTCGAATGTTTGTGCCGTGCGAAGAATCAAACCCATGACCATCGGAAGTAAGCCGGTATGCTGAAACCACTAGATATTTGACGGTCTCGGTGAGACCTTCAAAAATCGTCCAATTACTCACGGGGAATTAAAAAAGGTCTATCACTGATACTCATTTCAGATGCTCTTCTTTTCATTTTTTTGTTTTTTTCACTATTTTCGACCCACCCCGTAGCTGTATCGCCATTAACCCACCCAATAAGAGCCTTTGATCCTGTTACCTGGGAGTTGTGACCCCCAGAGTCGACGCGAGACGAAAAGGTAGAAAATCCCACCCCTCTAGAATATACGAATAGCCTATCTATCTGTACCACCCACGCTGCTGCCGAAATCTGCAGGTCCGTTTCGATTAGCACGTTTCTAAAGGGGGCGGGGCGTAGAAACGAATGCGCCAATCGTATTAGACTCGTACGACAATCACCCCAATCACCGACTAATATGCGACCGCACTTATATATGTATACAACAATCTGTTAGTTCGGGTGTTGAACGCATGGCTGGCACAGCTATCACATTACTTGCTCGTAAGAATGGGTCTACTAGATATATAGAGATATAGAGACTGTAGGGGTTTTGTTCCTACACTTGTTGATAATGATAATTGATATTGATAATTGATAGTTATAATTGATAATCTACGGGGATGATAAATAAAAGATACGTCCCGTAGTGAGCGCTTGATGTTATACACTGATTTATTGTATAGTAATATATGTATAGTGAAATGATATATGCTACGTAAGTGATAATTTATAAGTATATTATTGTTATGGTACGGTGTTCCATACAGAGACGATGAAATACGTAATGACCAGGCGATGAATAGAATTTAAAATTCTTTATTTAAATAAACTTAATCTTTTTAAAAGCAGTCTTATCACAAGAAGAACGAGTAATGAACTCACGAGTTGCACTTTTAAATAATTGTTGTAACTTAAAAATGTGTGAGTACAAACTACCAAGTAGCATTGATTTATTAAAATTCAAATTCAAAATATCTTTATTCATGTAGGTCTATTACAGACTCTTATGATATGTCAAATCTACCGTCAGTTCGGAATGATTTCGAGATGAGAACTGACAAGAAAATCAGCTCGTATTTTTTTTTAATATTGTACATATTTACAATAATACATTTTCATTTAAATTCAAATTTGGGAGAATACAGCATATGCTATTGAAAAAAAATAATAAAAAAATCTAATCAGTGTTCGCAACCTGATTAGACCAGTCTCCACAAGGAGCACCAGTTCACGAGTATGACGGATGAGCCAGCCATCATTGCACTCAACCATATTAGAGGGAGCACAGCACCCACTACGCCGCCACAAGTTTGAACTTTACTATTAATATTTTATTATAATACTTAATATTTTATTAAAATAAAATATTAAATGCAGAACCAACTGGTTTGTGAAAATAAATAAGCGAGGCGAGCAGAAGCAGCACTGCTGATGAGATGCGATTCGGTGAACAATAAAAACAGATTGGCCGACATTTTATTTAAATTATAATACATTGTGAGTGGCTCGACTAGTATTGATAGCTCATGAACAAACAGCGAATACTGGAGCGGTTCAACGAACGGAAAGTGTAACTGACCTATGACGTCACACGAATGTATGAAAATTATGATGAACAACTCGAGAAATATTTCACTAATCAAACTAGTTACTGCACTACTTATTTTGTTCGTATGTGTTTTGTTTAATTTGTGTGGAATTTTAAGCAAAACATTGGTCTTGGTCGTTCCTCTGATACGGTCTTTGTGCAAGAGGATAAAATAACGTGGAAACTTTTGCCCTCTGGAATGACAATGTAGGATGAATGTTACTTTGCGTTGTATAACCATAGAGCTGTTTGCGTATATAAATAATAATCCTGGACAATTCACATAGCGCCATCTAGTACCAAGCTGAGCAAAGCTTTGAAACAAAGTAGACGCCGCTTTCTGTTCGCTTTTATCGTTTAAATTACGCAACTGATTTTAATACAGTTTACTACAATAGATAGAGTGATTCAAGCCGGTACCAAACCGCAATCTACGCATCCCTGGCGGTACTCCATATACTATTGTCGTCCTGCTCACTCGTACGCCGCCGCCGCAGTGTGTCCTTGTCGGAAGGTTTTTTTTAATGGAATGATGCACAATTAATAGCCCATCTTGGTAAATGGCAATTTATCAAGATGGTTTCCATAGGGAACTGTGGAGTGGAGGTGTGCCGTGGTACATTGTTAGCAATGAGATTACCCTACAGTACTAATATTCCCCTTGCCTCCTCAGGAAGGAAGGTATATATGTATAATATATGCCAGCTATAATAGCATAGAACAAGCCGAGATATTTAAAGATTTATAATGCAACCGTGCGTACTGTAGTTTCATACAAGTTAATAACTATATACAACTATATAAAAATGTATGTCTGGAATTTAAGTGGTATTAACTCATCACTTACATGGAATATTACGTATCAGACTTACGTATAGATATGCGCTAATTCTATCTAAATGCCAATCTCTGCCAGGTAATGAACGATAACGCACGTTATCATGTACTACTTGTTTACTGACACTGCGATATAGCCTCGAGAGCGGACGCTAGTCGGCTATAATTACACGTGTTTTTGTGACCGTGTGTTTGTGTCCGGTCGACGGGCAGTTATCACCTTAGCCATTGTACGCACTTTACCAAGATTCACGTATATGGACCATCATCCCAAAAGTAAATATATCATAGTCAATTTCATTGTATTGTTTATATCTTAATTTATGTAATGCATAAATGAAATATCTCCTTTGGAAAGTGCACTCTTTCCCGAGGAGATAAAAACATAATAACATCATTTCGGATACGGATAGGTTTCGGATAAAGGTATGATTATTATACAGGATACGGATACGAAATTATTTCGGATTATCCGTTAGTTTCGGACAATTTCGGTTACGGATAATAATTTTTTAAGGAATTTTAAAAGTAAAATACAAATAGCTAATAAAATGTTTACATAACGTGTCTCTATTGGGCTTCACCCCTATCCGACATTATCCGAAACTTTTATTTCGGATTCGGTTACGAATATTTTTTTATATCGGATATCCGATAGTTTCGGTTACGGTTCCGGAGCTCCCTAACATCCCTGATAAAAACCATCGCTCCTAAGAATATCCTTCAGTTCTTGTCCCTGACGGGTCTAGGTAGCGAACTATGAAATGGGCGAGCACAATTGATGTATCAGGTCGCAGTGCTACAGGTCCGTGCATCTGACAATAGTCCGAACAACCCAATAAAAAAATCTTAATTAAAATTAGTGATGGCCTCAGTGATTTAGCGGTATAGCTACTGAAGCTACAGTTACTGACTTTCGATCGTTCTGGGTTCAAAATCTCGTACTTTACAAATTTGTATTCATGAATATGATTGTTTTATCGGCCTGGGAGTTTTCTATGTATGTTATGTAGGTATTTACAAATAAATTTTAGTTGTCTAGTAACGAGTACACGAGTTCTAATTAGGTTGGGAGTAGATGGCACTCTGTTAATTGTTTTGATATATTATTTTTTAATGAAACGTGTATATAGCTTTTGTCGTTTGCCGTCGGTTGATATATTAGTGAAAGAATGCCGACGTTTATCCGTTTCTTGTAATTTACTTGGCGTATTAAATGGAAACTCGGTTTGCGGTGGAACCGGTCGACGAGGCGAAGCGAGACGGGGGTACCGTGGCATCAGATGGGTGGACCCACTAGCGGGGACGTCGGCGTGCGGGCGTGTCGTGTTTGTTTATACAGCTATAGCTGGTGGGTGCGGGCGCGGTGCTGGCGCTGCGTACACTAGTGTCGTAATATGAGTGGTGTACAGAGGCGGACAGCACGGCGTGGGTGGCGGGCGCGTGCGGGGCGGCGCTGGCCGCGCTGGTGGGTGCGGGCGCGGTGCTGGCGCTGCGTACACTAGTGTCGTAATATGAGTGGTGTACAGAGGCGGACAGCACGGCGTGGGTGGCGGGCGCGTGCGGGGCGGCGCTGGCCGCGCTGGTGGGTGCGGGCGCGGTGCTGGCGCTGCGTACACTAGTGTCGTAATATGAGTGGTGTACAGAGGCGGACAGCACGGCGTGGGTGGCGGGCGCGTGCGGGGCGGCGCTGGCCGCGCTGGTGGGTGCGGGCGCGGTGCTGGCGCTGCGTACACTAGTGTCGTAATATGAGTGGTGTACAGAGGCGGACAGCACGGCGTGGGTGGCGGGCGCGTGCGGGGCGGCGCTGGCCGCGCTGGTGGGTGCGGGCGCGGTGCTGGCGCTGCGTACACTAGTGTCGTAATATGAGTGGTGTACAGAGGCGGACAGCACGGCGTGGGTGGCGGGCGCGTGCGGGGCGGCGCTGGCCGCGCTGGTGGGTGCGGGCGCGGTGCTGGCGCTGCGTACACTAGTGTCGTAATATGAGTGGTGTACAGAGGCGGACAGCACGGCGTGGGTGGCGGGCGCGTGCGGGGCGGCGCTGGCCGCGCTGGTGGGTGCGGGCGCGGTGCTGGCGCTGCGTACACTAGTGTCGTAATATGAGTGGTGTACAGAGGCGGACAGCACGGCGTGGGTGGCGGGCGCGTGCGGGGCGGCGCTGGCCGCGCTGGTGGGTGCGGGCGCGGTGCTGGCGCTGCGTACACTAGTGTCGTAATATGAGTGGTGTACAGAGGCGGACAGCACGGCGTGGGTGGCGGGCGCGTGCGGGGCGGCGCTGGCCGCGCTGGTGGGTGCGGGCGCGGTGCTGGCGCTGCGTACACTAGTGTCGTAATATGAGTGGTGTACAGAGGCGGACAGCACGGCGTGGGTGGCGGGCGCGTGCGGGGCGGCGCTGGCCGCGCTGGTGGGTGCGGGCGCGGTGCTGGCGCTGCGTACACTAGTGTCGTAATATGAGTGGTGTACAGAGGCGGACAGCACGGCGTGGGTGGCGGGCGCGTGCGGGGCGGCGCTGGCCGCGCTGGTGGGTGCGGGCGCGGTGCTGGCGCTGCGTACACTAGTGTCGTAATATGAGTGGTGTACAGAGGCGGACAGCACGGCGTGGGTGGCGGGCGCGTGCGGGGCGGCGCTGGCCGCGCTGGTGGGTGCGGGCGCGGTGCTGGCGCTGCGCCGCCGCCGCCCGCGCTCCCCCCCCGCGGCGGCTCCCCCCGCGCCCCGCGCCGCTCGTCCGGTGCGCGTCGCTGACTTCCTCGACCACTACCGTCTCATGTCCGCCGACTCCGACTTCAGGTGAGTTACTCTCGACCCACAACAATACATCTCTCATTAAACTTAAAACATGTTAATGTATCTTCCTATTCATATAATACAGACAACCCCACACCTTCCCGTAAAAAGATAAAACTGACAGTCCCACACTTTCCCGTAAAAAGATAAAACAGACAGTCCCACACTTTCCCGGAAAAAGATAATACAGATAGCCCCACACTATCCCGTAAAAAGATAAAACAGACAGTCCCACACTATCCCGTAAAAAGATAAAATAGACAGTTCCACACTTTCCCGTAAAAAGATAATACAGATAGCCCCACACTATCCCGTAAAAAGATGAAACAGACAGTCCCACACTTTCCCGTAAAAAGATAAAAGAAACTCACACTTTCCCGTAAAAAGATAAGCAGACAGCCCCACACTTTCCCGTAAGCAACATGACTGACGGGAAAGGTCTTTATTGGATTGATTAAATTGCATGCACTACAAAGTACCGTCACATTCTTATTTATTCAAATATAACACTAACGTACTCTTTTTTTAAACTTTTAAATCCGCTGCTGTCACTTTTAGAACTAAATGTATTAATAAATGAATGCGTGACCGTGTCGCCACAGATTCAGCGAGGAGTTCGAGGAGCTGAAGCACGTGGGCCGCGAGCAGCCGTGCACGGCCGCCGACCTGCCCTGCAACCGGCCCAAGAACAGGTTCACCAACATCCTGCCCTACGACCACTCGCGGTACAAGCTGCAGCCCGTCGACGACGAGGAGGGCTCCGACTACATCAACGCCAACTACGTGCCCGGACACAACTCGCCCAGGGAGTTCATCGTCACGCAGGTAACACGAACGAAAGCCGTGCTCGTGAAATACATATTTTGATTACTTTAAAAAGAAAAAATAATGTAAAAAAGAACACCCTGTTGAATAAATGTTAATCATTTTCACGGACTACCGATTATCACGGATCTGTTCAGATCGAATTAAGACATTCTTAGCGTAGTGGTGTTAAAGACTGCAAAGCCTGTCGAAATGTCTGTACAGACTGCCACGGACGTAATGGCCGACGCAGTCGTCGGTAGCGTGTGTAGCGACAGGGTGGTGTAGTGTGGGTTCGGTTCCGTGCAGGGTCCGCTGCACTGCACGCGCGACGACTTCTGGCGTATGTGCTGGGAGTCGGGCTCGCGCGCCATCGTGATGCTGACGAGGTGCGTGGAGAAGGGCCGGGAGAAGTGCGACCGGTACTGGCCCTACGACACACGCCCCGTCTACTACGGAGACATCGCCGTCACCGCGCTCAACGAGAGCCGCTACCCCGACTGGACCGTCAGCGAGCTCATGCTGAGCCGCGGCGCCGAGCAGCGCGTCCTCAAGCACTTCCACTTCACCACCTGGCCGGACTTCGGAGTGCCCGACCCGCCCACCACGCTCGCCAGGTACTACTACTACTACTACTGTTTCACATATTTTTAGACAATTAACCACAAATATATGTATAATTAATGTGATGTGCGGTTGCAGGTTCGTGCGGGCGTTCCGTGAACGGTGTCCAGCGGACGGGCGGCCCGTGGTGGTGCACTGCAGCGCCGGCGTCGGCCGCTCCGGGACCTTCATCACGCTCGACCGCGCGCTGCAGCAGGTGACGACCCCCCACCCGACCCCCCACACACACACTCCTCCACTCCCCCCCACGGACGGGCGGCCCGTGGTGGTGCACTGCAGCGCCGGCGTCGGCCGCTCCGGGACCTTCATCACGCTCGACCGCGCGCTGCAGCAGGTGACGACCCCCCACCCGACCCCCCACACACACACTCCTCCACTCCCCCCCACGGACGGGCGGCCCGTGGTGGTGCACTGCAGCGCCGGCGTCGGCCGCTCCGGGACCTTCATCACGCTCGACCGCGCGCTGCAGCAGGTGACGACCCCCCACCCGACCCCCCACACACACACTCCTCCACTCCCCCCCCGGACGGGCGGCCCGTGGTGGTGCACTGCAGCGCCGGCGTCGGCCGCTCCGGGACCTTCATCACGCTCGACCGCGCGCTGCAGCAGGTGACGACCCCCCACCCGACCCCCCACACACACACTCCTCCACTCCCCCCCACGGACGGGCGGCCCGTGGTGGTGCACTGCAGCGCCGGCGTCGGCCGCTCCGGGACCTTCATCACGCTCGACCGCGCGCTGCAGCAGGTGACGACCCCCCACCCGACCCCCCACACACACTCCTCCACTCCCCCCCACGGACGGGCGGCCCGTGGTGGTGCACTGCAGCGCCGGCGTCGGCCGCTCCGGGACCTTCATCACGCTCGACCGCGCGCTGCAGCAGGTGACGACCCCCCACCCGACCCCCCACACACACACTCCTCCACTCCCCCCCACGGACGGGCGGCCCGTGGTGGTGCACTGCAGCGCCGGCGTCGGCCGCTCCGGGACCTTCATCACGCTCGACCGCGCGCTGCAGCAGGTGACGACCCCCCACCCGACCCCCCACACACACACTCCTCCACTCCCCCCCACGGACGGGCGGCCCGTGGTGGTGCACTGCAGCGCCGGCGTCGGCCGCTCCGGGACCTTCATCACGCTCGACCGCGCGCTGCAGCAGGTGACGACCCCCCACCCGACCCCCCACACACACACTCCTCCACTCCCCCCCCCGGACGGGCGGCCCGTGGTGGTGCACTGCAGCGCCGGCGTCGGCCGCTCCGGGACCTTCATCACGCTCGACCGCGCGCTGCAGCAGGTGACGACCCCCCACCCGACCCCCCACACACACACTCCTCTACTCCCCTACACCGGCCCCAGTATGTGGACTAGCTGCCGTGCTCCGTCCTGTTTGATGGGTAGCATCTGACCACTCAGGCCTATCTGCCAGCCTGAGTGACAGACCACAGCTTTATGAGTAGCACCTTAAAAGTAACATGTGACGTTTGCCCGTCGCAGCTGGCCGCGCACGCGGAGTACCTGGACATCTTCGGGATGGTGCACGCCATGCGGCGCGAGCGCGTGTGGATGGTGCAGACGGAGCAGCAGTACATCTGCATCCACCAGTGCCTGGTGGCCGTACTCGAGGGCCAGGACCTGGCGCCGCCGCCCCATCACAACCATCACAACCACCACCTCAACCCCGCCTTCGAAGGTAACACACATCAACTATAAAACTTATCTTAACCCTTACTAATATTATATATGTGAAAGTTTTCACGCTATAACTTCTGAACCGATCATCATGAAATTTTGTACACATGTTCTTCGAGGTATTAGAATGAACACAGGATACTTTTTATTTAAGAAATCTGCGAGCGAAGCCGCGTGTAAAAGCTAGTAATATTATAAACGCGAAAATTTGTAAGCATTTATGCATGTTTGTTACTATTTGACGCAAAAATTACTGAACGGATTGCGATGAAACTACAGTAATATAGCTATCAGAATAACACATAGGCTATAATTTTAAAAGATATTATGTAAATCGGTGGAAATATAATGATAAATGTCATATAAGTAGGGGCGGATCTACCTAAGGGCTTTTTGGGCTGCAGCCCAGGGCTCCGAGGATACAAAGTGCCCCCAGTCCCCACTAAAACGATATTTAGAATATAAAAAAATATCTAGAATGTTAAAAAACCTAATAAGTTGGCAACCCTGAGACCAATCAACCCAAGCAAGTGCGCGTCTATCAAAAGGAACGGGGAATTTCTGGTCGCTTGTTTTTGGTCGGTGTATTTTTTTAGTTGAGTATGGTAATATAATTAGCTAGGCCTCTAGGTCCCTCTTCAGGGGCGGATCGTGAATTTGTGGGGCCCCGGGCTAAATATAACTATATTTAGCCCAGTGCCCCACAAATTCACGATCCGCCCCTGCATATAAGTGTGATGCAGACGAAGTTGCACGGGTCAACTAGTATTTAATATTATAAATGAACGGAACTTAACCGAAGTTTTTGTGTGAATGTTTGTTATTCTTTTACTGAAATACTACTGTGGATAATGGATTTTAATGAAACTTTACAGTACATATAGTTAATACATTAGTGTAAGTCACAGACTATAAGTTTGATGCGGGTAGCACCGCGGGCACAGCTAGTAATATATTAATTAGCATGTGCTTATATGTCTACACTATTGTTTTGAAGGACAACTTTTTGAATTTGTATTTACATGGATATCAATCTCCCAAAGTTGTGATAATGAAAGACTTTCACTATTTGAAGAATGCACTATTTCAGATTCAAAATTCAAAATATCTTTATTCAAGTAGGTCTATTAGAGACTCTCATGATATGTCAAATCTACCGTCAGTTCGGAATGATTTCGAGATGAGAAGAACTGACGAGAAACTCAGCTCGTATTCTTTTCAAATAAATGTTGTACATGTTTACAATAATACAGATTCATTGTAAATTCAAATTTAGGAGAATAGAGTGACCACCAGCATATGCTATTGCAAAAGTAAAAAGTCTAATCAGTGTTCATTATCCGAACTGACCAGAATAGAAAATAATTTATACAAATAAACTTAATTTCAGCACTTTTGAATAGTCATAACAATTTTTTTTAATCTACCGCTCATTCGGAAAGCTGTCTCATCACGAGTGTTTTATAATATGAGAATTTGATCTACACTTATCGATGTTAAGCTTCATTTGCTAATACCTATGAAAAAGATTAAATAATTTTAAAAGCAATAAACGATGCGTAACCTTATTAACTGTGTGTGTGACGAGCTGGCTTGGACCAGGTGGCGGGTAGTGGCGTGAAATGGCGGGTAGTGGCGGACAGTGGCAGACTGTGCCGCGTCATGGCTCGCCGCCCGCACACACAGCCACGTGCGTTCAGTGACGCGCTCCCAAATGGAGGCAATCCCCTTTAAAGTGTTTCTCGCATCCGCACTAACTCCGCAACATCCGCGCAACTTCGTCCCTCCTCCCCTCCGCATCTGTTCACTTTCCCATACCCGACCCCCGCCCTCCAACTCATCATTCCCAAGGTTGCGCTTCTAATTGCGAGTTTTCTATATTATATTAATATAAGTGTGATTGTTAATTTGTTTTCTGGTATAGAAGAGTGTTCTAAATGAAACTTGTGACCTCTTCTCATGAAGCGTTTATTGTAACAACTTAACAATTTAAAATTACAAAGGGCGGATACTCCACCCCTTATATATCGCGTGATGAGTGGTGCTTCCTACTGGTCGATTGTGTGATGCCGTAATCGACGCGACGTTTGACGTCGACCAGTGGTTGTTGGGGATGGCGCCTGTGGTAATCAGCATTATACTGCTCACAGTAGAATTGATACTATTGTTTTAAATGATATCAGATGGGAGACGAAATTGCTAGTGATACCATTTGAGGTCGGCCTCCACACGGTCCCCACCTGATAGCAATCGTGGTTAATCGACGACAGTGGGGGCCCATTGCGAGGGCCCGAGTGGCAGGTGTTTGCGAGGCCCCGAGTGGCAGGTGTTTACGGGGCCCCGAGTGGCAGGTGTTTGTGAGGCCCCGAGTGCCAGGTGTTTACGGGGCCCCGAGTGGCAGGTGTTTGCGAGGCCCCGAGTGGCAGGGGTTTTGCGAGGCACCGAGTGGCAGGTGTTTGCGAGGCCCCGAGTGGCAGGTGTTTGCGGGGCCCCGAGTGGCAGGTCTTTGTCCTTCGTGAAAGTGTGCGATTGAGTTGATGCCGGAGACGTATGAATGAGGACTCGATCCCAGTGATTTTTTTTTGGCTATACATGAAACAAATTAAAGGATATTTTTAAGAACTGATTCAAGATCTATGCCTTATTTTGCATTTATTTTATTAATATATATTAGTTCTGATAATTTTGTTCATTTCTGATTAAATACCTAAATCAGGAAGTTTGCACCTTACCACTGAATCGTTGTTTAAATCTGCTTTGGTTGTTTGTTACGCGAGGCCCCTGCAAGAGCAAGGCCCCGGGCGATTGCCCCGTTCGCCACCTCCTAAGGCCGCCACTGATCGACGAGGTCGCCGCGTAGCGCGATACGCGATGGGCTGCATGTCCTGATTTCATTTTCATATTTTTCATCGTTCACTGGTGCCCCTGTGTACACCATTAGGGCAGGGTGCACCATTTCATTATAATCCGTAGCAAGCGTGATATAAGCATGCGAGTGTTGCGACAGCTGGAGTACGAATGGCATACTTATACTCATGTCGGTGCTATGTTTCAGATGACGAAGGCATCGCGGAATCCGGCATGTGAACTCCGCTGCAGTGCTCCGTACGCACTCACTAACACTCATCTAGGTGCTGAATGTATTGTGACCGACTCGTCGCAGCTAATGAAGATCGTATCATATCAGATCACTACTCTATACTGTAATGCATTTTATTTGAACGTCTAAAACATCCAATTGACGGAGTGATTTTTAGAGAAATCCTGTACTAGTACTACTAGATAATTGTCAAGGTTACAAGTGATACGTATCTGGTACAGCGACGGGCACAAATGAATGTTATTTTTATTGTTTGTACAGTTTAATGCCTATATTGTTACAGTCCCGGATAACAATTAAACTTCACACTTTGTTTTGTATTCAGGAGAAATATACATATGTAAAGTTATATGGAATATAACGGACAAAATATACAGGACGCGTATTGCGTACGATGGTTGCTATATATATATCTTACTTTGTGCAATTATTACTTATGTGAAACTAACAAGCGACCGTAATACGCTGATACCATTACACAGGAAAAATATAATGTATATATTTCTTAGCCTATGGAAAGAGAGTCGCCCTTCAAAATTCGAGCATATATTATATAAAACTCACATAATTTGTCAATTTGCCTGTGACGATAATACCAAACGAAAAACCTCTAGCCTATGAGCTAACTTACCTGACCTCATGCTCATCTATATCCACCGCTGGTGCCCCGCCAGCGTAAACCGTTAGCGCAAACTGGTGCACCATTCCATTATCATCCATAAAAAAAATTACCAAACGCAGGACCGACACCCACAAGTAAGCTGCTGCCGCCGTCGGGCGGGCGCTCTCTCTCCACCGCTAACGAACTAACTTTTGTATTTGTGTACTTAACGATCAATTCGCCTATAGCTCTAAGCGTATTTACATATTTTACAACATAGACTAAGATTATATGAGATGATATATTTTTTAACTTTATATATCCACAGGACCAATGTTAGATAAGTAGTATATATATAAATGTTACAACGGACTAATGACAATAGTCGCCGATTCTCTACGACACGGTGTACTGTGTCGTGTATTTGTGTTGATATTATTGTATTTTAATTGTATGGCGTTCGTACTTATTCACGGTGAATCTCAAATTGTGTACTTAATTTTATTGTTAATATTTTTCGTTTGATGTTATATATTTTTACCTATTTTTTGTACCTGCTGCATTGTTCGTCCAAGTGATGGTTATTTGACTAATTATATGAGTAACTAGACCAATGTACATCCAAATCAGTGCTTAATTACTTTTGTTCTGACATTCTTGTTTCTGCGTCAATTTTCTCTGTCTGTTACACAGTCAAAACTCTTAGCAGAGTTTCCATTTTTACATTCCTAACATAATAATAGTAGAGGTAAGTGACACTTGATGCTGATAATGTGTAACATTAAGTTTATGAGTGTAATATTCTAAATATACAAATTGTTCTGACTACGACCTCAATCGAATTTATGGCGCGCTTGACGCGTTCGTTGTAGCTAAATAAAATATATACATACTTTATTTTTTCAATGCTTGTTTTAATTTCTTCCCAAACGTGATGCGTATCAAATGCCACATTTATAAGGCAAATGTTATTAACCTGTGACTTGGTTATTATTTGAGCAATCACTATATAAAAAACAAGGTAAACTAGTGGCAATTTTTTTTTAGTTTTGGATGTTTTTTATGAACATATACAGAGTTATGGGAGTGTTTGGAGAAACATGAAGCGTCTGGGAATTGGACCAGCTCCCCGAAGCACGGGCTTATTGTGTAAAAAGGTCTACCCTACCCTACCCTACCCTAATTATTATAAACTTGCAACTGTATAAAAATGAATCATACACACGAAAGCGTTATCGATCTAAAGATATAGTATAAAAATTAGACCAAAGCAAAAGAATATTTAAAGAAGAATTAATTATTAATAAGTAATTTGATTAATCATCAATATTAACCGATACTCTACGATGTTGCATCCTTGAATGGTAATATACAGGTTTTTATAACCCCTAGAACCAGAAACTTGTCGATAATTTTGTTTTACAGTGTAGATCGCGAATTGTCAAACACAGCAAAATAGGACTGGGGGCCTAGTTATGTCACAATGATATTAACAATTCTCAAGTATAATTGATTAAATTTGTGACATATTCTATAACCATTTTGAAATAGAAATAATCTTTATTCAAATAAACTTAATATAAGCACTTTTGAATAGTCAAGTTTTTTTATTCTACCGCTTATTCGGAATGCAGATTCATCACAAGAAGAATAAGCAACAAACCTGTGTGTTGCTCTTTTAAATAAATATTGATTTACTTATATTTAATTAACAACAAGGATTAAGCATGCGACAATTAACTTAGAAACCGCTACGCACTTGATAGTGTACTTTGAAATTGTAAATACCAGGTTTATCTTATGTGCTAAAATGGCCATATAGACTTAAGAAATTGAAGATTTTAAACCGTTACAATTGAGAATGTTACTTTATATAAAAAAGACAATGGAAGTAGATGTAAGTAGTGGGTGCCAAAAGTGGCGATTATCTGGAAGAACCGACTAATCGACCGGGACAACCTTTTTTGTTTGACAGTAGACTGTGCAGTTCAGTGTCGATCAAAATCAATTAAGCCAACATATCTTAGATGAGTAGTATGGCCATATACCTAATTAATTTAAGTTGTAGAATGGAATTTTAAGGTATTTTATAACAAAACACGTTACCATTAGTATAATGACAATTCTGGATATTATATAATATTGAACAGCAGACGTTAACATATTTTCCATAATTTTTCCGTTTTCATGATTTTTAATTCATCATTCTATACGAATGGTGCTCACGAAATACCAAGATGTAAGTATAGAAGAAATATTAGTACATAAAACTGAAAAGAATATATGTTAAATAATTATAGACCCTCTTTTAGAAAGAGAGGCGCTCCTTAATAGGTTGCCACTTTCGGGGCTAGCATTATTTGTAACAGTGAGTATATTTCAATCTACTGTACATATACATGTAAATATATGACAGTAAGAAACCATGAGCTTTTAATTTACCTGAAAGTACAAGTAAAAGTGTCGTAGATTGAGATCGTTGAGCAATATATGTTTTTCTTGAGGCTTTACAGAAACAATTCTATATTAAATGTAAAACAAAATGAAATGTAAATAATTTTTGCCTATAAAGGAACGTAAAGTAAATTTTAGTATATGATCAATATGATTCCTAATTATATATAATTCAGACAACATAGGTATATTTAAACTAAAATTACCATAAAGAAAATTAATATAATTTTAATGAATATTGAGATATATATAATCGCGAAGTATGAGGTACTATAAAAATATTAAAAGTTATTTAATCGGATGTTGCGCATAGCAAATAGCAAACTGTCATTGTTTGCGTTTGTGTGAATGAATATAATAAAACAATCTGTCAGTTGTGTGCGTGCAAAAGAACTCGCTTGTCGTGTTGCAGTGCGTGTGCCTTCTACAATTGACTTTCATCGCCTCGTAAGTTTGTGAATTTAATTTATTATTGTGTAATTAGTGGTATTTGAATTCTGTTGAGCTACCATGAGTGTTCATCCAGAAGCCGTTGTCCTAGAAGAGCTACAGAAACGACTAGGACCAGTTGATCGGATTGTGTCGATGCGTCACCTTTGTGAGCCATTTTACACAAGTTCTTTACTAATAATTTGAAATTGCTGTAATCGTTGTGTTTTATAGTTGCTTGCGGCCTTTAGTTTACGTAAAATATCGTTCAATAGAATGCGTAATAAAATAAATTGGGCCAAGAAATGAGCATTATAACCTCGCGTGTAGGCAGGAAGTGGTTCCTATTCGTGGGTTGCGTTAGGCCGCGACGGCTCCTTTGATTGGTGGCATTTCTTCCTTGTTCCTTACTCTGTGTTCGGTTTACAGATTATAATTATGGCTATAGTGAAACATTTATATAAAACTAATAATATTATTATTATTAGTACTGTTTGCTGCTAATACTTTTTGTATTTCACGGTTAATGAATAATTTATTTACATGATACTTTTCTTTTGTTTCTTAGCACTACTTTATCACTTAAATCCACAAACAATAACAGTGTCATATTTATGTAAATTAATAAGGCATTTAAAATCATTATCTTATCCAAGTAGGCAAGATATGTAGCAGGATATCCTAGTATTGAAACTTTCCTCAAATTGTTGTCTACAATGTTGAATGTACTCACTTAAATTATAAGAAATTTATATCACCACCCAGACTTAGATAAACAAGCATACAAAAGTTTGTATCATCTGAGAAATCGAACGTGTGAACGTCGAAAGTATGATGAAGTGCTAACCTACTAGACCACTGAAGATGTCAATAATTTTTATAAATGTGAAAGTTTGTAAAAATGTTGAGTTTGATTTGTTAATATCCATGAGTATTGTAGGAAACATTTACCCAAATTAAAGTGTGCTGCGAGATAAAATGTGCTGCATAGCATGACACGGCTCACTTAAATATATGTGCCACGATGAACTGACGAAGGTACCAGCATGGTGTTGGTGTCACATCCAAGTCTGGCATTCAACAATATTACTTTCTATATTCTTACAAAATTATAACAATCTTTCCAATATTATAAACGCAAAAGTTTGTGAGTGTCATTATGTATAGATAGAGGGGTGTATGGATGTTTGTTACTCTTTCACACTGATACTACTGAATAGATTTTGATGAAACTTTACAGAAATATAGCTTCTGCATCAGAATAACGCAGGCTATAATTTTTACAGGAGAGAAACCACAGGCACAGCTACTGTTATCATATTCAATTTACATGGAATCAAAGCAACATTCCAATTTGTTTAATATTCACTAATTAATTGACTCTTATATTTATCCTAAACACAAATTGACTGTCATAACATGCCTATCTACTATCAAAAGGTACTGATATTGTAATTTATTATTATTGATTGTAATTTTGTAATTATAACTTTATTAGTTGTTCCTGCGGTTTTTCCCGTGTGAAATTTGTACCCTTCATTTTCTGATGTATAAGGTATATTTCTGCAAAGTTTCATCAAAATGCATTCAATAGTTTCTGTGTGTCAGAGGAACAAACATCCATCTATCCATCCATACTCACACTCACAAACTTTCGCATTTATAATATTGGAAAAATTGTTATAATTTTGTAAGAATATAGAAAGTAATATTGTTGAATGGTAGACTTGGATGTGACACCAACACCATGCTGGTACCTTGTTCACTTCATCCATGGTACATACATTTAATCAAGCTGTATCATGCTATGCAGCATATTTTATCTCGCAGCATGCTTTAATTCGGAAAAACAGTCCTATGTTACTCTTGGATATTATTCATTCAAAATTATTATTTTTTACTAAGTTCTATATAGATATTGAAGCCTCTATTTAAGTGTCTATCTGTGTACAATACCTCATTGTAATCTGTCCAGCTGATTTTGTGTGACAAACATTCATTGTCACAAACTTTAGTGTTTATTAATAGAATTTGTTTGTTCGAAATATTCCTGAATTTTTCTAAATAATTCAATAATTACACACACAAACTCACAAAATTTTCAGTATCTCTTTCTCTATTATAACAATATAGATTCTGATGCTCGCGGGTTTGCTTCCACGCACGGTGTAAACATTTATATTCTTGAGTATGATTGTTTGCATTGCTCTCGGTGTTTTTTTATGTATATTATGTTATTATTTATAAAAAATAACTGTTTATATCAGTTGTCTAATAGTAGTGAATTGTCTCAAATTATTATCTTCTTTATAATATTAAAATTACGTGTCACGTTGCTTGTCCGCGATGGACTCCTAAACCACCGATTTCAAATTTGATTTGCACATTGTGTGTTATTTGATCCAACTTGAAACATAGGATAGCTTAAATCTCAATTTATAGTCGCAATATTATTTTATTCAAAAACCTTAGCCACAACGACGCGTGGCCGGGTCTGCTAGTTATTATATAGGGTCAAAGTTTGCATTAAAAAAAATGGAATAATGATCTGTACAACTACTGTCTGCCCGTTGGTTATTTTCGCATCAGTGTATTACGAGTTGTAAATATTGGTCAAGTTCAAATTCAAAAATTATTTATTCATGTAGGACATTTTAGCCGCTTATGAACGTAAAATTTTTTATATTATAATTTTTTTCCCTACCGTACAGTTCAGTATATAAATACAATTGAGAAGGACTGGCAAGAAATTCAATTGAATTACTTTCTTTTTTTTAAAGACAGTTTATTTACAATGTATATTTATATACGTGTCTATGTCTAACATTAAATGAAAATCCCGAACATGAACAACTATTGCCATGCACGCTCGACATTCAAGTTCATAACATTGGACCGTGTTCTTGAATTTGATATTTTTAAACTCCTCTCATTACAGATTATGTAAGCAATATTTGTTCGTTTTAAGTAAATGTTGTGGTCGTGTATACATTACATAATTGTTACGTATATAACATCTCACCTCGTTGTATATATCTACTTAGTACATTGACGAACTACACTGTATACAAACTTATTACTATCTATAGCAGACCAATCTTACTTAGTCCAATCATTCATCAATCACACGTTTTATATATTTTTTTGTGGTTGACTACCTGTGCCAGTGACTTCTTCCGCGTGGAATTTAACTTTATTTTTTAAAATAAAAGATGTATTCTAAAATAAAACTAGCCTAAGTTACTCCTTATTATACAGCTACCTGCCTAAAAAGTCCCGTCAAAGTCAGTCCAGCCATTTCAGAGATTAGCCGTAACAAACGAAGCGAGACAAAAAATTAAAAAAATATAATTTGGTGTATGTACCGTATTTATTTCGTATGCATGTAGTGAAAAATGATTAATTCAATATTACAAACAGACACTCCAATTTTATTTATATGTATAGACGTATAGTTAATGGAATGATGCACCCGCCTGCGCTAACGGTTTACGCTGGCGGGCACCAGTGGAGGACGATAAGATGAGCATGAAGTCAGCTCAGTTTGTCCATCGTAATTAAGAAACCAGGAATTAACTGGTTTCCAGGGGGAACCGCGTGGAGATCGAACTGACATGGTACATCTAGTAATGGGGTCAAGAGTCCACATTACTGACAATCCCCTGCCCCCCCCCCCCCCCCCCCACATTTGGTATAGCGTTATTCATCTCAATTCATTTGATACTACAACGAAAATTACCGACTGTTATGTATCATCACCAAACACGATTATATTTCACTAGCTTTTGCCCGCGGCTTCGCTCGCACTAATTTGTCCCCGTAGGGGTGGAATTTGTCTAAATGCTTTTTTAGGGGATGCCTACGTCATAGTAGCTTTATGCATGCAAAGTCTCAGCCCGATCGGTTTAAAATTGACAAAGTTTCATACAAACTTTCATCCCCTATTTTATCCCCTTGGGGGTAGAATTAATCAAAATCTTAGCGGATGCCTACGTCATAACATCTACCTGCAACCCTATCCGTCCAGTGGTTTGGGCTGTGCGTTGATAGATCACTATGTCAGTCACCTTTGAGTTATATATATTTAGAGTGTTTACTACGGTTTCAATGTGATCATCAAATGATGATAGGCGGAAGTTCAGTTCAATATTCAACTACTAGCTGCGCAGCGCAATTTCACACTTACTTGACTTCCATCATTATACTAGTTACTCGGCCCGGCTTCGCACGGGTGTACATGTATTATTATATATATGAATCACTCCTCTCTATTAAAAAAACCGGTTCAAAATCCGTTGCGTAATTTTAAAGATTTATGCATACATAGGGACGGACAGCGACAGCGACTTTGTTTTGTACTATGTAATAATGATTTCGCCCAATTGACTTGTGTTTTTAAATTACAGCTTACTAGCTCACCCTCGCTACTTCGTCTGTTTCACACTTATTTGACATTTATCATTATATTTCAGACAATTTACGTAATATCTTTTTAAATTATAGCCTATGTGTCATTCTAATGTATAAGCTGAGCTATATTACAGTAAATTTTCGTGAATTTATTTTCGTTTTTTCCATAAGACAGTAACAAACATCCATCAATAAGTCTATACTCACAAACTTTAGCATTTATAATATTAATAAGATTCCAATGACTGCACTCACTCACTGACACACTGTTTTCAGTTATCTATACATAAAAATAAAATTGGGGTGTCTGATTGTAATATTAAAATAACATTTTTTACTAAATGGATTTGAATACGGAAAATTAACCACAATAACATTTTTTAAAAAAAAATCTGTTTGCCTATTTGTTCCAGCTAATCTCTGAAATGACGACCGATTTTGACGGGACTTTTATTGAGAGGTAGCTGATGTAATAACGAGTAACTTAATCTACCTTTTGTTTAGAAAAGTAAAGTTAAATTCCACGCAGACGAAAACACGTGTACAGAACGTGTACAAACGTACACGTGTACAAACGGACAAACTTAAAAATTGGAAACTCCTCCTGT